CTGCAAGACTTTTCAACTACTCTCCTCCCCCAACTAAAAGCATAAAAATGTGCAAATGGGCAAACAGCACAACCTGATCCGCCCTCTATTCCTGCCACTTCTCTAACTCCGGGGCCTGGGCGACAATCCACCGTCGGAATGTGAAAGCGCCTTTCAACGGTAAAGCGCTCGCTAGCGGGACCGAGGCGTGGGCATCACTAGATCCAGGGCAGCGCCGCCCCGGCCTGCGCGGTTCCACTTCGACCTTCCGGACCAACCCGGCGCGGGAGGAAACTGAGGCCCGGGCGAGTGAGGAGCGCCCGGCCCCAGGCCGTGGCGGAGCCGGGGCAGGCCGCGCCGCGCGCCCGCCGCTCACCTCAGCAGCGCCAGGAAGGCTGCGGGCTCCACGTCCGGCAGCTCGATCTCGGCCGACGTGGTGGCCATGCCGCCGTTGAACATGGCGTCGAAGACGGCGCTGCCGGCCGCCAGCACGAAGCGGTGGGCGGGGATGCGCTGCGGGCCCCCGGCGGCGGCGGCGGCGCCGCGGCCCTTGCCCAGCACGAAGCGCACATCGCTGAGCAGCTCCGAGTTGAAGAGGAAGGCGAAGCGCTCCTTCAGCGACGCCTTGGTCGCCTGCCAGTTGTACAGCGGCTCCCGCTGCAGGGGGAGCAGGGGCCCCAGAGCGGACGGCGACGCAGGCAGCGGCGGCCCCGCGGGGCCCGGCTCCGCCTCGGCGCCCGGCGCCTGCTCCCCTGCTGCGGCCGGCCCGAGCGAGGCCATCCTCCCGCTGCGCGGCTCCGCGGGCTAGGGAGAGAACTCCCGGCGCCCCGCCGCCATCACGCAAGCCGCCCCGGAGGCCGGCGCCGCCCCCCAGCCTTCCGGGAAAGGCGCTTCCGGGGCCGCGCGCCCCCGCCGCCCCGCCCCGCCGGCGCGCGCTCCCGCGCGGCTGGGTGCTGAGGCGGGGCCCCGGAGAGGTAGGGCTCCGCGACTCCGGGCGGCGGGAGGGCGGGACGTGGGGAGCCCGTCGGAGCCCCGAGCTCTCGGAGGCGCAGCTTCCGCGGGCCGGATGCGGCCGGGCCCACCGCGCCACCCCAGGCGCCGCCTCGGGTCTGCGAGCGGCTCGAACGGCGGCCTCTCCCTTCCCCCGGCCGCTCGTCACCCGCCCCAGAGCCCCCGCGAGTACCGCGGACAGATCCCCGCGCTTGCCTGGGAGTCTCTCTCCTGGAAGTGGAGGGGGCCGGAGGGAACGGCCTAAGGAGCGTGCGAGGAGGGGACGACAGGACCCCTCACAGCCCTGGCCCTCGGGCGTGGCCAGGGCACCGCTCCAGGTGGGCGCTGCTTCCGTGGGAATCCCAGGGGCGCCCCAGCGACCTCTCCCCAGGTCTGCAGGTCCCTTCGCTCTCTAACTGCCCCTCCGGTTCGGTGCCTAAGAGACACGTCCTCCTGCTCCTTCCATGCCTGTGTTTGAAACCCCTCCTGCTTACCCCTCGCTTTTCAGTCCTTACACTGAAGAATCAATAGGAAAAGCACTGTCAACTGTGTTACTGCTTCCCAGGCGGTCTTTACCATGTGGGTCACCACGGCTGGGGGACAGGCCTGCCCTCCACCCCGCGGGGAAGCAGGTCCTGAGTTAAGTCAGCTGTTAAAGGCAGGTGAAAAACCCGGGAAATAGTTCTCAACCAGGCAAGTATAGTTGGAAACCCCTATTTTCTTTGAAGGCAAAGCCTTACAGATTACAAATGCCAAGTCATCTTCATAAGGAAACCGTAAACCTGGGTTTCTCCTGTAAAATCCCTCCCTCTGTCAAGCCCCCCCCCCCAAGGGGACTTCCAGCTGTTAGACGTTTGAATGGCAACTTCTTTGGGACACTTGAAGTGGTAGGTACTGAAACAGTGGATGAGCAACCCCTTCCCTAATACTTCAGCAAGCATCTCCTAAAGACAAGGACGTCATGCTGCAAATGATACCATTATCACACCTGGCAAGATTAATAATGTCATCATATCATCTAAAATGTCTAATATTTAATAATAGTCCATATTTAAATTTCCCAATTGTCTCAAAAATATCTTTCATAGAGGATTTTTTTTCCCAATCCAGGATCCAGTCGATGTTCACATACTGTTGGTTGTGTTGACTTCTTTGAAGCGTCCAGGGGATTGTGGAGTAGACTGCTCCACAGTCTGGATTTGCCTGATTGCTTCCACGTGGTTCATGGTGACATTCCAAGTTAAACATTTTTGGCAGGAATACAATGCAGGTGATGTTGTGTACTTACTGCTTCAGATCAAAAGGCACCTGATGTCCCACAGTTGGGGATGCTAAATTTGATGACAAGGCTGTGACTGCCTGATTTCTCCATTGTAAAGGTGTATGATTCCTGTGTAAGTATTATAATAAGTAATCCATAGGAGTGATACTCTGAGGCTCTTTGTTATTCTGTAAAGAAGAGCCTTCCCTTCTCTTCCTTTTCCTCCCTCCTCCTCTCTCTTTCTTTTTGAGTATCAGTGTGGACTCATGGATTTTTTTTAAATGTGTTATATAATCCATTACGAAAAACTGACTATATTTTAAATCTCAAGGAAAACCTCAAGTTACCAGAGCAAAAATAGTATGGGCCACATTGTCTGGCACAGAACAATAAAATCATGATTTAATAACCAAAAATATGAGGATACCCCATATCAAAATTTGTCTAATGCAGTCAAAGCTGAGTTTAAGGCTAAAGCTTAGCCAAAATCACTTTCTTTACCAAACTGGAAATAATAAAAAATAAATAAAGTAAACATTTCAGCACTGGGTATAGTACCTGTCACAGAATATGTGCTCAGTAAATGTTGAACAAACTCATCCAGAAGTTGGGGGAAAAAAAGCAACACAAACCAAAGGAAAGCCAGAGAAAGGAATTAAATATAAAGCAGAATGATTATGATTTTGCTTTTCTATTTGAAGCAAAAAACTTTTTTTCTGTTTTCTTTCTGTATATGTAGATGTGTAAATATTTAGATATGTCATATATTTACAGCTAAATATTTACTTAGTTTATAAGTTTTCTAAGAAAAGAAATTCTGTAGAACTAGAAAACAAATCCAAGCAGATTCTTTGACATCAAAAAAGAAACTTTTTTTGTTTCTTTTAAATCAGAAGTAAACAAGAAGTGCATTTCCCCCCAAAATGTGAGAATACATAGGATTTATCCAGAATGTAATTAAGAATACAGATTATTTGGCCTCACCCCTGGAGATTCTGATTGAGTGAGTCTAGATAGGGCGTGAGAACTTTTAATTGTAAACGCAGCCCAGGTATTCTGATATAGGTTATCTATAGACCATACTCTGTAAAATACTGTATTACATAGTTTAATGAAGAAAAAAAATGAAAAAACACAGAATTAAATATGAGAAAGGATATATAAACATAATTAAGGAGATTAAAAATAAAAATGTGAAGAACTCTATTGATACCTTTGAAAATATTAAGAAATGTACCAGTCTAAGAAACCTGGCCGGGCACAGTGGCTCACACCTGTAATCCCAGCACTTTGGGAGGCCGAAGTGGAATTACTTAAGGCCAGGAGTTCAAAACCTGACCAAGACTTATTAAAGGTTAAATTAGGAAAACAAAACAAAACAACAACCAAAAAACCTGAACAAGACAGCTCACAGAATGCAAACTATCAGCCAATTTCATATATGAATAAAATATAAAAATTTCAAAGTAACAGCAAGTCAAACTTAGCACTAATTAAAAGCATAATTAACCACAACTAAGTCAAATTTATCCAAGTCATTCGAATGTAATTCAATATAAAGAAATAGCACTGGCAATTATCACCTCAAATGTAGATATTTTGGCCCAGGTATCAAAAAGACATCTCCATATATCCTTTTACATAATGGTTTCCCTCTGGGATATTTGTCCTATTGAAATATGTTCATATATTTGTGAAATGACTAAGTATATGGATATAATTGCAGCTTTATTTGTGACAATAAAATATTAGAATATCCATCAGGAGAGAACTGATAATATAATATATAGAAAGCCTTAGAACAGCCTGGCAACAAAGTAAGTGCTCAACAGTTGTTGCCTATTATATATTACTGATACAGGAATAGGCAGCTAAATACACCAGGTCAAGAAGTCCAGAAACAGACCCAATTATAGGTAGATGGATTGATATAGAGATATAGGAGGTAGATAATATTTCATATTAATGGGGAAATGAGGGATCTTTTAGTAAAGGCACTGATATAAAATTATTGAATTCATTAGAGCTAGATTGTAATTCACTCCTTACATTAAAAGTTTTACCTGAAAGAATAAGCTATATATTTTAAAAGACGATGAAGAAAAAGAACAATAAGAACAACAAGAAGCCATTAACGAACTAGAATAACATGCAAGTGAAAAGTATCTGTTTTTAAGGTAGAGAATTCCTTTCTAAACATACATCAATGACTCAATCCACAAAATAAAAATACTGGCATATTTGACTACGTAAAACTGTTAAACTTTCCATCTAAAAATAAAGCAAAATAAAATTAAAAGTACAAAGACAAACTGGGAAGAATGTTTGCATGATTTATGACGAAGGCATGGTATCCTTAATATATAAAGGGGCTTTCCAGATTGATAAGACATATATCCTCTCCCTTTTTTAATGGACAAAGGATACAAACAGGGAATGCACAGAAGCATAACCTTTCTGAAGAGTGATTCAGAAATGTGTCAGTAGTTTAAAACCTGTGTATCTTTTGTTCCAGCAACTCTACCTACGGTAATTTATCCTAAAGAAATAAGAGCTGGATGTAGAATTAAAAACAATAATAAAGGCCAGATGTAGTGGCTCACACCTGTAATCCCTGCACTTTGGGAGGCCGAGGTGGGAGGATCACTTGAGACCAGGAGTTGGAGGCCAGCCTGGGCAACATAGTAAGACCTCATCTCTACAAAAAATAAAAAATTAACCAGGTGTGGTGGTGTTCACCCTGTAGTCTCAGCTACTTGGTAGGCTGACACAGGAGAACCACTTGAGCCCAGGGATTCAAGGTTACAGTGAGCTGTGAGCAGGCCACGTTAAGCTGGGCAACAGAGGCAGATGCTGTCTCTTAACACACACACACAAACAAGAAGAATATCAAAATGTTATAATACTTTTTAAAAATAGAAACAACTTAGATAAGTGATTAAATTATGGTGTAATCAATCAATCATATGATGGAGCAGTAAATACCTGTTGAAATAGTTGCACTGATATGAAAACGTGTTCTCAACCCGTGATGATGAGTGGAAAGAGCAGGCCACAGAGAAAGATGCATATCATACCGTCTTGCCTTTGGGACCTAGAGTGTACCAGTTTGTTTTAAATGTCTACTATATATATGTATGTCTACAAAGACAAAGTATGACCACTGCTATTAATTTGATATATTGCAGGGTAATAGGATTGTGAATGATTTCTCCCACTTTATATTACTTTTCTTATTTGAGGGAAAGAGTTTTGTTTTTTAAGTAAAAATATTATGAGATTTGATACATAAAAATTTTGAATGAGCTATCTGGTAAGCTACAGCAGGGACACTAGGCCTGTCTATGCCATAAAATGTAGTTTATTTCCTTGACTTCATCTGAAATGCTGTTAAGTAACACTTTTTATTTGACTAAATGTGATTTAATGCAGTTCAACACTCATTGCAAGGCACTAGAGGTGAGATTCAAAGACGACTAGAACATATTACTCACCCAAGGAAGCTTATAATTTAGCAGAGAAGGGGGAAGCCCATTGGGGCCTGCTCAGCTAGAAATAAAACTTCTTTTCCTATCTGGTGGATTTTTAAAGAATACAGAAGCAAAGGCAATCTGCCATACCCTAGACTAAATTCAGCTTACTTATGGAGCTCTTCTTTCTTTGCTTGTCATTGCTTTCTGGAATCCAGCCTAGGAAAGTAATATATGTCACCATGTGTGCTGGTTTATAATTAGAACACATGTGAGGACTTATAAGAAAAAGGCCTATTGGCAAAAAACATTAAGTACAATTCTAGAAAAGGCAGTCAGGAGAAAGAAGGAGGAAGAGATCTATTTTGAAAAATAAGTTAATGCCAAAGAAAGAGAAGACATTTAAAAAGCATAAAAGGCAATTATTACGCCATTAGGATTTTTATATTTCAGAGAGTACATGAAAAGATAGCTGCTATTAGATTACCCTCTATTTGAAAGGATGAGCATTGTAGGTATAAATAGAAGCGAAGGTCAAGAAACTAAAGGCAGAAGAAGGCTCACGTGTCCAGCAAAGACTGATAAGCATGTGAAATAATACCCTCTGCTCCTGAGGCCATAACCATGCCTGGGAGCTGAGTTTGAGCTGCTGGAAAGAAGTGCAGGGCAAAAGTCAAAAAGGCCCATGATTGCCCTTCTTATAAATCTTAAATCACCAAACTTTATTATAACACTAACGCACAGTAGAGTGTGAGTTCTAAGGCTAACTTAGGCTATAGGATCATTTTCTCCCCACATGTCACCTTTTTCCAACTAAGAATTAACACTTTTCAGAAAGATGTGGTTGACCTAAGCCCTGAAAAACCAATATTTCCTCCCTCTCCAGGTTCCAGAGTTTCTGAGAGTCCTTTCCCAGGAGCATGGCCCCAGGAATTAAACAAGCAAGCAGGAAGAGGGTCATACCACACACAGTGTGCAGCAGCTTGATCTCTCCCCATCTTTCCACTCCCACCGCCCACTGCACTGACCTCCTCCATCCCAGATTTCCCCCCTCTGCCTGCCACGCTGGGACCTGGCAGAGCTGCTCAGCTATCCCCTCTGCTGTCCTGCCCTGCTTCCCTGAGCACCTCCCACCTCCTCCTGCCTGACTGGTCCCTCTGTCTGGGGCTCTGTCCCAGCTGCCTGGTCCCGGCTGCAGTCACTGCAGGTTCCACCTTAGTGCCCCCTTGAGCAAGGCTGTGAGAGTCTCCACGGATGCTCAGCGAGTCCGCTGCCTCTTCCTTGTCCTCCACTGAGAGGTCTCTGCTCCACGCAGGACTCCCATGACAAGATGTCAGACCTTTCTTCGAGAAAAGGGGAGAGAAGGACATTTTAGTTCACTACGTCCACCCAAATTCTCCCAGTAACCTAGCTCTTTCTCAAACACGCTTCATCTCCATATTAGAATATCTCTCTTCTTCCTCACTCTTCTGGGTTTGAATGAGAATTTATTTAACCGCTGATACATAATTTTTGTCTGCAACCCATCTGAAGGATGGGGACTTGTCTACCCATTCCCAGCAGATACTTGGCACCTTTTCCCTAATGTATTCAAACCAGTGGGTGGGAACAGGAGGTACTGTCTCTCTGTGTCCTTTATCTTTTTGGATTGAGGAGGCAGAGATTCCTATTCCTAGGTTCCTTCAGGCAGCAACATTCCTTCTGATCCAGTTTTCTGGGGATGGCTGGAGGAAGCTGAAGTTCGTAGCTTCCCAAGAGCCCAGTTTCCTAGCCCAAGCATCTGTCACACTGGTTGGTACCAGGGCCCCGGGCCTGGTTTATCTTCATTGCCATCACACAATTTTCCTTACAAATTCCAGATCCTATAAAATTCTCATGGACTCCCTGAATCTATCATCTTATGCCAAATTTTCTCCTCCTTTCTTCTCCCTGTGAGAGTATGCATTCTCTTGGACCAACAGAACCGAAATAAATGTTAGATTATTTAACTAAAGTATGTCCAGGGGCTTGTTAAATAAAGAGGAGTATACATGGGAGATTGATTAGTTAATTAAATGGAAATCAAAGTCAGGGCACTCTGAGGACAGCTTGTCTGTATCCACAGTAACACCAATAAGCATATTTACTTAAGTATTAAGGGTATTATTTTTGGTCATCCCTTCTCTTCTTCTTCCTCTGCCTCTTCCTTTTGACATTACCTCATCACTTATGTTTTACAACTTTCTTATTCAAAGATTCCATATTTAATTCATCCTGGATTCATCTGACAACGTGGAGAGGCAGAACAGCACAAAGTAAAAGGTCACACACCGTGGAGCCATGTTGCCTAGGTTTGAATCCCGACTCCACTTCCTATTGGCCATGTGACCTTGGGCAAGTTGCTTTAGCTCCTTATGCCTCGGTTTCCTTATCCATAAAAGGGAGATTATGACATTCAGTTTATAGAATTGTTATGAAGATAATATCATAAAGCACTTAAAATAGTGCCTTGCACGTAATGAGCTATATCTAAGTGCTTTAAAATAAATATGTCTTTGAGCAAATTAGGGAGTAAAGGCATTTGACTCGTAAGTTTTCTAAGACCATACAGACCTGAAATGTGTTGGTGTGACTTTGTTCTACAGATGACAGCTTTGTTGAGAGAACAGCTCTCTGCAACAAACCTCACCCGTACCCTCCCCTACCACTAAGCCTTGTAGACGTTGCTCTGTTGTATCTGGACTTGACTACGTCCTCAGAAGTAAAGGCAATTCTGAGTTGGATCCTTAAAAGTAATATGCCCTCTCTGCTGGGAAACTGCAAAGTGTCTGCAATTTGAAAACACCATGGTATCAATCTCTGACTTAAATGTTTTTACTTTTTATTGTGGGGAATTTCAAACTTACACAAAAATAGAGGGATTCTCTAACTTAATTTTAATAAGGACTCCATTTATAGATGAATTTTTCCCCTCAAATTCTATTATATTTTTAGTTATTGGCTGTTAAGAATTGAGGCATCTTCTCTGAGGTTCCTGAGGTTTGGAGTCTGGATGCTGCACCCTACCGTCCCTGAGCTGTGTCTTTCCTCCTGGGTGATGGCTGCTGTGGAGAAGCCCAGGTCTGGTTTTTGGCTTGATCATTTATTGGTTATGACCTTATTAATTTTCTCTAAACCTATTTCTTCATACATAAACCATGCTGCTTACAATAGGAATTTAGTGGTTTTTCTATTTTACTCGGTTTATTTTACATTTTTCTTTGTAGAGTTCTTTCATGTTCTGAATGGTTCTTGAGTCAACTCTGTTTTGCTGATTGACTTTCTACCAGGTCAATTTTGATTTCCACTTCTTATGATGACTTGAGTAGTTTATTATGGATTTTTATATGAATCGTTTAAAATCTTGCTCCTGTGTTCTTGGGTATATGTTGCCTTTTATCTCTTTTAGCAATGGTGAACCTCACATGATATAAGAAATCCATTCCAAATCTAAATATAAAAGGCATACAAAAATCTTATAGAAGAAAACAAAGCAGAACGTACTGGAGTAGGTGAAAACTTTTTTTTTTAAGTTTTAATTTTTAATTTTTTTCCTGTCCTGAAATAATGCAAGAAAATTTCTTTAAAAGGAAATAAAAAGCTTTAACCATGAAAGCTGATAAATTAGACTATATTTAAATGACAGTGTTTATCAAAAGGTGCTAATTAAGAGAAGGAAAAGGTAAGCTATAGATTGGGAAAAGATATTTGCAATCCATATGTCTAGCAAGGACTGGCAACCAGAATGCGTAGATCAATAAAAGGAAGGAAGCCAACCGAATAGAAAATGCACAAGAGACTTGAACTAGCACATCATTAAGGAAGTTATTCAAATGCCCAATAAGCACACAAAGAGATGTTCAACATAATGCTTCATCAGGCAAATGCAAATTAAAACCACAATGAGATACCACTATACCAGAATCATAATGGCTAAAAATTAAGTGGCTGAAAATAACAAGTGTAGGCAAGGATATAGAATGATCATTAACACTCATACATTCCTGGTGGGAGTATAAATTGGTGCAACCATTTTGGAAAATTTTTTAGCATTTTCACCTATGGATGACCATACACATGGTCTGTGACCTACAGATTCCACCCCTAGGGATAGTCCCAACAGAAATATGTATGGGTGTTTACCAAAAGACATGCACAAGAATGTTCATAAGAGTACTCTCTGTAATGAACAAAAACTAGAAACTACTGAAATGTTCATTTTCAGTAGAAAAGAAATAGAAATTGTGGTGCGTTCACAGGATGGCCTACTACACAGCCATGAGAGTGAACTGGTACATGAACAGCATGGATGAATCTTACAACATAGTATCAAATAAAACAAGCCAGATCCAAAAGTGTGTATACTGTATATTCCACATAAAGTTCAAAAACCAGAAACTAATCTAAGCTGTTAGGAGGCAAGAAACGGAAATGACGAGAAATGGGCTTCTGGGTGCAGTTAAGGTTCTGTTTCTGGGTCTGAGTGTTGCTACAGAGGTGATGTATGATGTTCAACATCTCTGTGTGATTTCAAAAGCTACCCACTTTTGAAAATTCACTAAACTACACATTTTGGATTCATACACCTTTCTGTGTATGTACAGTCTATATAGACTGCAATAGAGTTTCAAAACAATGTTGGAGATTTGTTCTCTAAAAACTGCATTTCTTCTGGATGATTTAGTCAAGAGATTTTCCTTAGGCTCTTACTGCTTTTTACGGTTTCTGTCCTTAAATTACTTTGTGCTTGCTTGAGTAATGGTGACAATATTTTTGCCCACAATAAACTGATGTGTTTGTTTTGTTTCCATCTTAATGTTCCCTTGCCGCCTTCCCTAAGAAAGACTTACCTTCCCAGAGCAGGGAAGAGTGAATATGTGGCTTCCTTATCAAGGTGGTTGGTTTAAAATTAGGGCATCCAGGGAGAAGACCTGGTGTCCACTCCCAGGAATGCAGAATTGAGAGCCAGGGACCTGCTGGGTGAGGGTGAGGTGACTCCATGGCTTGTCCTCCTGGTCAGGGGCCAGATGGACAATGTGGCAGTGATTTAGAGGAGCTCATGGGTCAGTGACAGCCACGGTGAGGTTGAGCCAGCTGGAGGGCAGCCCTCAGGCTCTGGCCAAGAGAAACAGAACTAGTTAGACCAACTGCAGAGGTTAGCTGTGGACACCAGAACACCAGGGACAGGGACAGGTTGCCTCTCAACAATCACCAGCCCACACATACCAAAGGGACCAAAGGGCCAGCATGAGGCCAAGGGAGCCTTCTATCCCCACAAAATCTCGAGGTCACTTGGGCCCCTGCCGTGTATACTCAGATGCTACCTTAGGGATAAACTGGAGGAGGAGAGTGGAATCTGAGACTGAGTCGTTCTACCTATGAGACAGCTTTACTTAAAGGGATTGGTTACATTCTTGCTAATTCTTACTAACTGTCCTGGAATAGACTAAAATACATTTTTTCCATGTCACTTTGAAGGTGGGATCTGGTAACATCAGATTACTTAATAAAACAGCTACATTTTGTCTGCACTTCTGAGTATAGTATGAATAAATTGGCAGCCTTCTTTCTTTCTCTCTCGTTTGTTTATTTTTCCTAGATTTTCACCAACTTGTAGACATTAGTTGCTGCTGAAAATAGTTCGTGTCAGGAATTTTTCTAGATATTTTAATAGAATTTGAAAAGAAAGCTCCCGAAATTGCAACTTCCCACAATCATTCCTTTATTTATTAGTAAAACTATCTTTATAAATTTTCTTACTTTTTCACTCTATTCATCATCTACTCATCTCTCCACCCACCCAAATAACAGCCATTTTGTTGGCTCTGTGTGTCAGGTGTTGAACTATGAGATGAATAAGACAGTCCTTGCCATAGACTTTCGAAAATGGAGAGCAAGCAGGTAACAAACGCTGGTCCATACTCACTTTTTCACACACCAGCACGGGCTTGTTTTAGCTTCAGTGTCTGGGCGTTTGAATTGCCAGGCCTTGTTCTAGGCCTCGGGTTTCTGAGTCTTGACATAATGACAGTCGTTGTTGGGAGCTTCCTTGCTTTGTAGTATGTGAAGATGGACAGCTCCTGTCCCAGGCCTGGAATCAGCCCTTTCTCTAGGGAGCCCCAGTTCCCTTTAGTGGGAAATGTATTTAGAAATAAGAACCTGGCCTCCAGGGAGCTCATTTCTTCTGTGTTCATGATTGTTTCTGGGACTTTTCTTTTTTTTTTTTTTTGAGACAGAGTCTCACTTTGTTGCCCAGGCTAGAGTGAGTGCTGTAGCGTCAGCCTAGCTCACAGCAACCTCAATCTCCTGGGCTCAAGCAATCCTC